GAAACTGAATTTGGGTGTGTGTAGTAAGTAGAAAATTTTAAGAATACGAAATTATACGAATACTGGAACACTTTTCAGATTTTTTTTTCATTACATATTTCATTTTCAAAAACAAAATATTTTTAATTTTGAAGCTCTGTATAGCACACACATACACATACAAAAAATAAAACCAAGTTCCACAATATGTCTTAATTATGAAAAATTATTATGATATTATGGAACTATGAATTTGGAACAGGTATATTTTAATATCTGAGGACCATGACGGCTAAAAAGATATATGATATTTAAAAATATGTAATGAAATTCTAAAATTATATATATAAATAAGAAAAAATATATAATATGTAATTTATTAAAATTAAAAATGAATGTACAAAAATCTGATTATTTGAATGGTAATTATTTGAAAAAAAAAATATTCTAAAAATAAGTATTTATTTAGGGTCAATTTTCATAAATTAAATTTATTATCTTCTTTGAATCTGACTATCATTGAATAATATCTAATATTAATATTAAAGCACTGCATTTTTTCAAAGGAAAATTAATGCTTAAAATATCTTATTTTAAATGAAAGACTAAAAGAAAATAAAAACACAATATTGGTGTTAATAATAATTAAAACATTAAAAATGACACAATTGTCATATTTTAAATGTAATCTTTCTTATCACTTGTTGGGTTCGTAATATTGCTTCGTTAAATACACATAAACATGTTTTTTTTCCAGCGTCGTTTACCCTATTTCTATAAATTAAATTCAGCTAAGATTCTAATACGAATAAAATACATTCTTAAATTCTCTTGAAAAATGGACTAAGCCAAGAGGAGAGAGAAGACCTCAACACGGAACAATTTAGTAGTCCGACGTAATGAACTTAAACTGCAGGAAAAATAAGAAAGATGGCACTACATTCGAGCTACTAAACAGTGCAGTGGAATAATAAAACATGAAATATGTTATTACGTTTGGACTAACAAGGGATCAAATCAAATAAGGGGAAGTTAAGTAGTGAGAACTTAGTCTTTAACGATCAATCAAAGTACCTATATATCTCATGAATGAATATTTATGATGTGGCTTTAATCTTTTTCTGAAAAATAACGATTTCCATTACACATGATTTCCAGAAGAGAATTCAGAAGAGAATTGAAGGATTTAATAAAAATTTACGATTTAAATATTAGAAATTTAGAAAATATGTAATGTCCAGTTAAAGCATGACATATATTATTTACTTACTGAATTATTTTATCAAATTCTCAAATTTGTTTAATATAATTATTTTATTATATTATAATTATGTAATTCGTATATATATTCTTAAATTATATAATTCTTATATATTCTTAATTGATATTATAATTATTAAATAAGAATTGTGGAAATAAAGTTTAACCCATTAGTGCCTAATGTATCTTTTTAGGGACGTTCAAAAAATTTATCATAAACTTAGTTGAATTAATTTATCAACTTATATTGGACACGCAAGGAAGCCACCAACAGAAATCAAGCTTATAAATTGGTGATTCAAAAACACTACACTATAAAAATGCTGAGGAGAGCTATAAAGAATTGCACAAAAGGAAAGAAAACTGCTCTTCATGGAAGACCAGTACGAGTAATAGAACGTACTTAAACGGATGCAAGGAAACAACATTTTATCTACATTAGGAAAGAACTTACGTTCAAAACAACCGGAAAAAAGATGGTGAACTAAGACATTGTAAAACAGAAATTTTAGTTAGATGGAGAGAGCATTTCAAGTCAGAGCCTATCTATAGATTCTTGAATACTAGATTTCGATTTCTTATCTAGACAAACTGAAAAATTAATGGCATGAAATTTACGCGAAATATGTAACTTACAATCTATATCGTAACCGATCTTCTGGAATAGATGGTATAGAATGTGAACTAATTAATATTAATGAACCTATACTAGCCGTAAAAGCACAAAAAATTATTTGTAATATTTAGGTCAATAAACAAATGCCCATTAAATTGGAATAAAGTTATCATTTACCCTATTTTTAAAAAGGGAGACAAACTGAGATGTCACTATTATAAAGGGATTACACTTCTAAACGTGGCATTTAAAATCCTCTCCAAACTATTGCATGATGAACTTGCTCCTTATGTTTTAAATATTATTGGGTACTAGCAATATGGATTCCATAAGAGTAAATCTATTACTGACTAGATTCACTCTCTCAGACAGATTCTGAAAAAAACAAAAGAATAATGATATTGATACGTACCATCTTTTTTATCGATATTTAAACAGCTTACGACTCCATCAAACGGGAGAGGTTTTTCAATTCTATGATTGAGTTCAGAATTCGATATAATAACGCTGTAAAACTGATGTCAAATGCAAAGAAAAAATCCTTTTTACAAGCGGAGAGGTTTAAAAAAAAGAGACACACGCTATTATATGCTATTTAACATGAAAAAGATGCTGATATAAATACTATGGGTACAATTATCCAAAAGTCTGTTTTACTATTGACTTATGCAGGTGACAGGCTTGTGGCTTCTGCTAAAGCATAGGGTTTAACTATTAATCAGGAGAAAACCAAATTTATGGTTATCAGCAGTCGAAACCTTGCCTCTCGTGATGAATGATTTTGATGGTGTCAGTTTGTTCAAGTACCTAAGGGTAATTTTTACATAAATAAATGTACAATAAATATTTAATAATGATACAAAAACAGAGATTAATAACAGGATAACGATGGCTAATAGATGTTATTTTGGATTGAGAAACCAACTGAAAACACAGCTTATTTCCATTAAAAATAAGATTACTTTACTCTAATTAAGCTTGTATTATTTTATGGCAGTGAATGATGGTCTGTAAATAAAACTGATGAAAAGTGACTACTAATTTCTGAAATAAAATACTCACAACAATCTTCGGAGCTTTTAAAGAAAATGATGCGGATTCAGTACAATTGTGAATTATACAGAAATTTAAACAATCAAATATTATATTAGTTATAAAATCCTATAAAATAAGATGGCTTTGTCACATCTGCAAAAGATGACCCAGTTAAGAAGGTATGAAAGTAACTGATCAGTTAGATTGATTCTTTGGGCATAATAGATGGAGAAACCTGATTGAGACAAATATTGAGAGAAGATTGGCTTCTTTTATCAATGTTATTACAGATGTCTTCTTTATACCCAAAATTAAATAAGACTGTAGGAATATTTTTCTTAGAATCTCATTCTCTTTATTTTTTCAATATTTATAAAATTTTATGTAAAAATTGTTTTTCTTTAAAGAAGGTCAAAATTGTTTCCAGTTCGCATTTTATTTTAATTTAAATTTATTATTGAAAACCTGAGCACGAAATATCTTGATTATTTGATTTATTAAACGTATAATGTCAGCTATTAAATGATTATCTTCTAGGTCTAAGCAAATTATTGCAATAAAGTTAGATTAGAGAAATTTTTGAACTAACATATATGCAATAAATGAATTTTGGCAACATTTTTTAAAATAAATTTTATTTTAAAGTTTTAAATCAATAAAAAAATTTTTTAGTTTTATTTATCGTTGCACGTTCTTCTCCGAAGGTTTGCTGTATTTAACTAAATAAAAATCTCATACATTTTATATGTCCCAGTAATGTTTAATCGTTTTTTATATTTTTTTTATCAGGCTTAGTTTACAAACCCGTATCATTAGTTTGCATATTACATTTCGTTGCATTTTCGTCAAGGGTGCCTAATAATCTATAATATGCTGAAAATGTAAAATTTACTTATATAAGACGTATATATCTGCAAAATTCCTATTGAAACGAAACCAAACTTATATGATTGAAAACATAAAATAAACATAGGATTCGAAAGGTCAATAAAAATTTGATTGACCTTTCGAAAATTTTATTGATTTGATTCAAGATAGAATCCCTTAAAAATATCTTTCATTTAATATTAATTTAAAAAATAAAGAATTAGCTGTGCATTTGTCGCAGAAAAGGTCTGACATCTTACTCACAGATGAGAGGGCGAAAGTTCCATCCCAGCTGATGACAGCTTAATAATATATACTGAAAATGAAGTTTAATAATATAACTGAATAATATATCTTAAATACTGAAAAACATTTTTTTTTAATTTAAGGCCCAAAATTAAAGACTATTTATTTAGTTTAATATAAATTCTTCAGTTTTGCAAACTGAAAAAAAGTTTACTTTATTTTTTCATTTAGAATACACAATTTTTTTTACAAAAAAATATTAATTAATTTTAGAATTTTTATGCCAGAAACTTTATCTTATTTCTTTAATAAGAACAAAAATTTGCATTACAAATAATTATGAAAACTAATAAGACAAAATCTTCAAATTTTTTTTCGTAATTGAAATTAAATAGCATAAATAAAAAGAAAAAATATTAGTTTTATAAAATGCTTTAATTATTTACAATCGAAAAAAACACACATTTCAAATCGTATATAATTGAAAATTTTAACTAAAATAAAATTAAAAAATATAAGGAAACTTCAGTTTTTGAAATTAATTAATTTTTATCTATTTTTTTTAATTTTTAAAATAAAATTAAATAATTTTCTCTCTTTTATTTTAATTAGAAATTTGATTTTAAAAGCCGTTTAATTTTTTAATGAAGAAAATGAGTTTCTTGAGTAAGTGACATTGCATTAGAACCATTGCCATTAGAACCTTAAGCTATGAGATTTATACATTAAGTGTCCTTTCATGTGTCACCTATAATACTCCGTCATTTTTTCTTTAATTCAAGGTTGGTTTCTTTTCTAAAGAAATTTTACATGCTTCGCTTGTTATAACTATTTAAATCATATAAATCAATTTACACGGTTAAATAAAAAGGCAGCTAATTATGCCAGATATGCCAAATATGATAAAAAATATGCCAGATATGCTTATATTTTGGAAATTTGTATGTTACTATAATGTCAAAACTCTGAAATGTAATTGTGACTTCAATTTTTTTAGGTGAGCCTGCTACAGTGTACATTAGGATAGCAGTTTTAAACATTAATTTTGTTGATGAAGCTAAACAGGTAAACTACTATTCATTTAAACTACAACATAGCACCACATTTTTAGAAGGTCTTTAGAAAGCCTTACAATCTATATTTCTTAAAATGTTAAATTAGATTGGTTTCGAGGCTTATCTTTCTTTTATAAATGAAATTTCATATTAAATAAAAACATACTGTTGTTTGAGATTAGTGAGTGTGCGTAGTAAATAATTATACTAAATATCATTTGTCCTAGTGATTCAATATTCGCAAACTAAGTGCCAATCGTAGTGTTTCAATTATGATAAATGATTAGCGTTAACTATTATGAAATCAGATACATAAACGTACTTTCACTGAATGAACATGGGAGGGGGTAGTCGTAAGCTAGAACATATGTGTTCCGATTCGGTCGGACCCTTTCATGCTAATTTCATAACATATATCGATAACTTTCGAGTAGAATTAAGAAAAAATTGCAAAATGATGCTAGCAATGAAAATCATTTCTTTCATACGTAGTTTTGGAATCCCTCACAATAAATAAATAGAGGTAAGAAATGAAAGGCCGAATCACAACAGCGAAAAATGGCATCAAATTGCGTCGTTAGTAATAATGGCCTTTTAATTCTAATCTGCAATCAAACAGGTATTTTCAAGTATCATAAGTAGTGATTTGTTAGATTTTTCAAATAATTTCCTCTTTTAAACATTCATTTGCGGCCTCTTATCTCTACTACATAAAAAAAATATTCAAAATTTATGTATTATTAAACACTGTGTATGAAAATTTTAATTGAGATTAAGATTTTGTTGTGTCTGAAGAGTAGGAAAAAAATAGCTTTTCGATTGACAATATGGTTGAGCATTAACATAAGTAAGTTTCCTGCAATACTTGCACATTTATTGCTCGATTTGCTTTCCAACTTTTCAATCACTTGATGCATTGTTTAGAACGAAATGACTAACAAATACTAAATTTTTAGGCATTTGGGGTAGACATATTCTTTCATCAAATTTGGAATGATCCTCGAATAAAAATTCCAGTATCTCACAACACTTCCCGCCTTGTTCTGGATAGTAAATGGAGACATCATTTATGGACTCCAGATACCTACTTTAAGAATTTTGTGGATGGAAAAGTCAATGATATCATTATTCCTTATAGTTATATGATTTTGGATAAGAATAGTGATTTGTTCTTTGCAGCTAGGTAAACATTTTATTCTAGAATATCTTTTTATTAATGTTTGTCTATAGAAATATTAATTTATAAGCAAACTGTGCTTCAAAGATTATAATTTTTAATACTAATTAGACAGAAATAAAGTGGTTTTTATTTTATAAATTAGTTTAATGAAAGTCAGTTTCATACAGTTGATGTGAAATAATTAACATCTTGAGAATAACACCAGAATACTTATATTGTATTAAAGAATTATAAAAGTTTCGCTGAACTGAAATAAATCGAATTTAACAAATATAAGCTTAAAAGTAAAAAAAAATATAAGCTTAAGGTGAAAAAGAGGTAAAAAAATAATAAGTTTAAAGGTTATGAAAGGTAAAAAAAGAAAAAAACTAAATTTAGTAACTAAAAAATTCTCGGCCAGAATTGGCTAGCTAATTCCTTCTCAATAAGATCTTGGTTATTTGGTTGGTGTGACTCAATTTTTTTATATCTCGCCTACGACCGTTTGCCTCATCATTTCATGATCTATAATAAATTTAAATAAAAAGTTCTTATTTAATTCTAGGGTAAGTTTAAAGCTTGACTGTGAAATGAACTTGGCTTCCTATCCACATGATGTTCAACAGTGTGAAATATCAGTCATGAGCTGTAAGTGCAGTAAATTTTATTAAAAATGAATTCTTAATAAAAACTTTTTTAAAATCTAGTTTTATTAATTAAAAAAATGATGTAACCATATACGTATACATTAGATGAATTTTTGAGCAAAAACTTTTTTCATTATTTAAATTATTAATGTCCTATTGTTTAATAATTATTAATGTCCTATTGTTAAATAATTTTAAATTTTCCACAATCTTTTTAAAAAGTTCCTTTAAAATTCACATAAATTCGATTATCTGGGATATTCGTTTATCCGAAGCTGAGTATTTCCCGACAATGTCAGTAAATTGAGGGAAGCAAACAATTTAGTGTAGAATAAACTCATTTGATGCATACTTGCTACATATAAAAGTATTACAAATTGCAAATGGCATATGTTTATATAGTTTAACAAATGAAACATTATGTCAGTAAATTGAGGGAAGTAAACAATTTAGTGTAGAATAAACTCATTTGGTGCATACTTGCTACACATAAAAGTATTACAAATTGCAAATGGCATATGTTTATATAGTTTAACAAATGAGACATTATGTTATTAAATTTCCGAAAAAATAACGATGGAAATTATCTACCATTACGAGACCTTGCAATTTGAATGCAGCAAAGTTTTAAACTGACAAAAGCTAGCACTAGTGGTTATTACATGTAATTGAAATGCTCTCTAATTATATTGCGTAAGTGTACAAATAATATTGCAATTACATATATATATANAATCATTCTAAAAAGTTTCAGTTACCTCATCCTCTATGTTCTACACAATTAATAATAAAAGATAGTTGTTATAAAATAAAAACCTCACGTGATAACTTTTGGATTACTTGATAACCCTTTCAAATGTGCCTTTTTAAGTACTTTCTTTTAATAACACCAGGGTTGCAAAAAAACGGTTTTTTGTTTTATAAAAGTTTAAAAAAAAAAGATGTTTTGGTTTAAAGGAAATTTTTTCTCGTTTTGACTGGTTTTTTAAGGTTTTATTGAAAATTAAGATATAATAATTTCTTAATCCCTAAACTAACAGTAAGAATTTCACAAAAAATATTTTCCATTAAAAAGAATTCACAAAAATCTTTTTTTTAGCAACTGATATATATTTTGAATAAAGAGTGAAAAACTTTTGTTCCATAAATATAGTAAAAAAAAGCATAAATTCCGAATATACTATTTTATTACTTCACAACTAACTTAGCAGCAAAATCAACATTTAACATCTAAATTATATTTGAGTAGTGTATTTATGTAGAGGTTCCCTCTTTATTGTCAGTTTAAATAAAAATGTATTTAAAATTATTTACATTATTAATATGTTATTATACAATTCGTTATTATACAATTCATAGTGTTATTAGTGTTATTATACAATTTATTTAATTTATATTAGTGTTATTATACAATTTACATTATTGAGTATACAATTCGTAGTATTAATCTTAATTGATTGAAGATTTCTTTTTGGTCATTTTATTCAATATAATCGAGTTTTAAATTAAATATGCTTGTTGACGTATAACAGCATTAAATTAATAAGAAAAATAAACACTTCAAAAATGTATTAAATGAATTTTGAATATTTTCTTTTTTAAAATAGCAAAACAAATATAAATTAAAAATATTTCATTAATGAATATTGGCATACTGCATTTATACAATACAAATTTGAAACCCTGGTAATAATGTATTTAACAAGTTATTTAAAATTAAGTCTAAAAAGAACTCTTTTAATAACTGCTTTTAAAAACTAAAGGAAGGGAAATTAGTGATGGTCTTTCAAGCATTTTTAAAAGACATGACGACTTAATATTTCTCACATTAATTTATTTTATAAAGATATTTTTGTGGAAGCCAAACTCTACATAAATATTAAAAAATCACAAATTTATGTTTATTTACAGTAATAGAGAATTCTATTAGCGATGAAGCTCAAAAATCTAATAAGAAATGTAAGAAAACTTATATTTTTGTATTTGGTTGTAATCAAACTGATAGAATTCATATAAGCAATAGAAAATGTAATTATTAAAATTTTTTTTAAAAAAAATAGTCTTAGAATTTAAATTTTTTTAAATCATGGTTTAAACTAGACAATTCTGAATAGCACTATTCAGATTAATCAATGTTCTTTCTTAAAAATTTTCCAACTTCATGAATTAAATATTTGCTTCAAAATCAGACAACTTTCACCAGTTCGTTTTTCAACCCGCACCACTTCCATAATATAAAAATCTTACGCAAAAACTCAAGCTAATCACGTCATATGTTTTAAGACCAACAATAAGTGACGTATTTTATTTTGAAGTGTTTGTTTCTATCTGGTGGAAAAAATGGTTTCACAGTACCAATACAAATATATATTTGCCAAATTCTCAAATTAAAATTATTTTTCAGTGACACATACAACAAAGAATGTAGTCTTGAAATGGAAGGAATTTCAAATTACTCAAAATATTCTATTAGCTCAATATTATGTGAGTGGAAACAGTAGTTTAGGTGGAACAAAGAGGTATAGCATAGGTACGTAAATCTTTTTATTATCACTATAAGAATCCTTTTATAATTTTCTCGTAAATACTCTTTCATTTATATATTCAAAAAGTATGTAGAAAAATAGCATATATGGGCTAATTTGTAATAACCACCTTTAATGCTTATAATCTATGTCAAAAATGAAAAACATCAGGCATCACCGACAAATACAGAACAGCAAACAACAGAACAAACGTGCACCGTGACTTTATGGACGCCCTATATTTTAGCGAGAAAACAAAAGCACTGTCTACTCACAAAAGAAACCATTTTGAATTGTTAGATTAAAAAAATTTTAAACTGCATGTTTGTAGTTTTGAATGACATCATCCGGGTAAAAGTATTATCTTTCAAGAACTTATTTCCTAACATAATCTGTATAGATCCTGATTTAAAGATGACACGGAGTTTAAGGCTCTGTATCGGACTTTTCGGTGTAACCTAATCATCAGCTTTAGATGAATAAGTACCTGAGCGAATGGTGTGGGTAACAAATATCACTGTATTATGGTGACTCCCTTCGTCAACAACTTGCTGCTGTGGTTTAGAGCAGCGATTCTCAACCTTGGGGGCGCGAGCACACTAGAGAGGTGGCGCGATCCAAGAGAAAATATTACTTCAAAAATTTGATTAACTGACTGAAAAGAAAGCACACATACGCATAGAAAACAAAATATATTTCAACTTATTTAATAACTTATTAAAGTAAAATAACTTATTAAATCAAAACTTAGGGTGGGTGAGCCAAAGGTGGCCATGGCTACCCTTGGCTCATTTGGAGTGGCAAATTATTTTTATATGTATCATATACATTGATAGTTCTTGTGTGACGTCACTAGTGATACTTTTGAGTTAACTCATTGAAATAAATCAATAATTACTGAGTTAATTCTTTCAAAAGAGTTCACTAACAGTAACTAGTAAGTAAGAGTTAACTAATCATATTGGAGTTAACTAACCTAACCCATAACTAGTATAAAAATACCCAATTTAAGAAAATAACAGAATCTATCACAAAAACAAATTGTCTTTTGGTTTCACCACTTGTCGTGAAGTCTAGGAATTTTTCTTTATCAATTGAGAGTCCTTCGGGAGTCTTATGAAATAGATCCCTAACCCACTCGCAACATACTACCAGTTTTTCATCAGAAAAAAAATACCTTTTTTAATTATTTGTCAGCATGGCTTAATGATTTTAAAAGGTTACAAAAACAAATTTTAGATGTTCTTTGTTAGTCTTGTAAGTTTTAGTACAATCAGCCACATTTGCAAACATTGTTAGGCTTTTTTACTTTAAATTTCCGCTCCACAATTCCAATTTTCTACGAAAAGCATTAACTTTATCACTTGTATCCAACATATGTGTAATAAAATAGTAACGCTGAATGTACTGAACCCATGTCTTTACAAAGTGCGGAAAAAATTCTCGATTTCAGGGGCCTCATTTTTGTATAATTTACTACGGTTATGACAATAGTTAACACAATATTCAGACCATGACTCATTTCTTTCGAAGCCAAAACTTTTCTGTGGTTCATGCAATGCGTCCAGACGCACTGAGTTGATTTTTGTTTTACAAGTACTTGTATACTTTGGAATCTTCCTGACATTAAACGAACACATCGGTGTAATTTTTCTATTCTACGTTTCCCACGTTTATAAAATCATTTAAAACAGCAAGTAATGGGAGTGCTGTTGTTATGAGTTCTATTGGTTTGCAGAAATGTAGCTATTCTACTACTGACGTAATCACGAAATCGAATAAGCAATTAAATGAGCATCTTTATTACTATCGGTTACTTTATTGAGCGGTATTGAAAATAATTTGTCACGCAACTTAGAGAAAAGCTGACACTGTACATTTTCAGCTATATCACCAATTCGACGAGCAACAGTATCATTTGAGAGATGTATGAACTGCAATTATTTTAAAAATTACATCCAAACATAGTTTCTATTATCTGAATTGCTGCTGGGAAAATAAGTTCTTCACCAATAATGTGAGGTTTTTTACATCTGGCTAATTTACATGAAACTTTGTAAGATGCAATTAAAGTTTTTTTTATTATTCACAGACAAGGTTTCTGTAAAAAAATGATTTTTGCTTTTTATATGATTTTAATTTTAATTTTAAGAATTCTTTCGGTTTTTTGACGTACTTACTATGAACTTTTTTCAAATGTCGTTTAAGTTTATTAGACTTCATGCTGTCTGCGACCAACATTTTCGAGCAAATGATGCACAGAAACCTTTCTTCTTCATTTACTTCAGTACTGGTAAACTCCAAATTTAAGTATTCTTGAGAATATTTTCGTGATTTTATTTTTGGAACCACGCTTGTTGCTGCTTGACTATCGTCTAATGCTGTTTTACTTCCGTTTAAAAATTTATCCACGGGTCTGCATAAATCTGCTGCCTTGAATATTTAATACAGTGAATTACAATTAACAAGAAAATATGTATAACATACACATTTATGATAGATTCGATAACGATAGAAGGATCAACTCGAAGGAGATTGACTGGAATTTAAATTTGCGTTATCGAACATTTTCCGTCTTCCTATGAGAAAAAATTTGCTCTGCGTATGTTCCAGACGCCATCGGTGGTGTGGATTCTTTTCCACAAACATTACTTTTTTTATTGTTTAGTCATGCTTCTGATTTATTTCTTTAATTATTCAAAAAAATGGATTCTCTGTTTCTAAATATAGTTCACCCCGTCTAGGTTAACTTTCACTGAAGAATTTTTCTATTTTCATATTATTTTAACGTTACCTCCCTGTTTGGCTTTCATTTCAAATATAATATTTAAATTTTCCTCGCTTTCATTGACTTCATCTGCTCAACGTCCCCTTTGGCTAAATGCAAGATATGATTTCTTCCCAACGTTGGCACGCTTTTACTTTTGTTTTGGCAGTTAGTTGAAAATATTTTAAAAACAGAATTTAAAATATTCAATGTACACTATTGTTGTATACATTTTATTGTAAGCTCGGGGGGTGCGGTGAAAATTATGATTGAAACCTGGGCCGCGAATACTGAAAGGTTGAGAAAAGCTGGTTTAGAGGATAGAGCCTCCCAATGAGGTGACCCAGGTTCGAATCACAGTAATCGATACAAATTCTGCTCGTATTCGGAAGAAATATCCTCTCAGTGATACACGGATTATGGGTTACAATCCCCAAGCTGTCGGGATACCGTGTGATGTTTTTTGTGGTTTTCCTTTACATGAAACGCAAATGCAGGTTAGTTCCAGCGGAAAAAAATTCTCCACGAAGGCTAGTTTGTCCCAATTCCTGATGTAGAAGTTTCCTTGTCGGCAGGGTTGGGTTCAAAATTATAAGGTGGCGCAGTCTAACATTGATAATCGTAAACTAAAAATTGGGTCGGCTGTTCCACAACGGTTAAAAACAAATGGGTGTTAAATTTACTAATTAAAAAGTATATTTAAGTTATGTTCTTCGATCCACCAAGATTTCAGATTCATACGGAATAAATGATCAGTAGATTATTTAAAGTGATAATATTTTTAACTCACTGTAGCATAAAACTTTTCTTGACATATTTTAAACAAATTGTTGGAAGTTTTTTGTTTTTGACTTATAAATCATTTTTTAGGTGAATTTTCCTTTGTTGCTGGAAGAATCCACTTAGCCAGAAGATTAGGATATTTCTTAATTAATAAGTACATCCCATGCGTCCTTATTATTTGTATGTCTTTTGTAACATTTTGGATTCCTGCTGAAGCCTATCCTGCAAGAGTTACTTTATCAGTTACATCTCTACTAACAATTGTAACTCAACAATATCAAAGTGCAATGCCTTCTGTATCGTATGTCGTTGCTTTGAATATTTGGATGCTTTCTTGTATTGGATTTGTATTCTGTTCTCTTCTTGAGTATGCTTTTGTAATTGCGGTCATGAATAACAAAGGAGCTGAGATCTGGCCATTTCGTAAGGTAAATATCTTTAATTATATTCTGTAAAACACACCCAGACTATGAAACCATACTTCCACTGTAGGTTACGAAGCCTCCATGACGACTGACGCGAGTGCGTTTTTATTTAGTTTGTATGGATTAATGCAGCTCCTATTTTAATATTTTTGCTTAATCAATTTTCTTCTATTAAAATATCAAAGAATGTAAAGAATTTTCTCGTCGAATCCTTCACGGAGTTTCTCTCTCAGCACAAACAGCAACTCTTGTTCTACCTACTATTGTAACTTTATGAACAAATTTGGCATCAACCCTTTGTCGTAGTTTTAAATTGGCGTCATGCTGGTCTGAATTAATTTTCGTTGAGCGAAAAGTATAATATGCAAGATTATGAAGAAAAAACAAAATTTATTAATTCTTTTTTAAACTTTGGATTTATGTAACACAATAATATGTTCTAATTTTATGTAAAAATCATATTTTATAGTTCTCCATCGTGTGGTATCTTTCAAAGCACTATAAGCAATATAAAGTCCTGCTTTTTGAGAACATGTGTCGCAAAAATAATTAGCTTGGCGTCTTCCGCCTTTAATTTTTCTGTTTGAACATACAAAACAATCTTTACTCTTTAAGTCTTCACAGTGCCGCAATATATGTAGTTTGCCATTAAGCTATGGCTAACATCTTTGCTATGGCGGCTGAGAGCATACATACGACTAGAACGGTAAAAAAGCTTTAATGGCTGAGAGTAGACTGCAAAGGGTTAATAAAGGAATTTAAATTGTTTTTCTGAAAAAAATATTATTTCTAAAAAATATGACCCAAAAATTTTGATTTCAGTTTACTTCTATCCCTCTCATTTTGAACATTTGACGTGGAAGTAGAAATGGATCAAATACATTGTAAATTACATATAAAATATATATCGTATTTTATAAATTTTACAAACTAGATTTTTTTCAAGAAATTTTTATTTTTTTACGAATTTTTGAAGAAAAGAAAATTTAGGAATCAAATTCAAATAGATCACAGTACTTTGAAGAAAGTGAATTTACATACACTTTTATTATTTCTTTTATTTGAAGCAACTTTATTGCTTTTATGATAGGAGTTTTTTTTAATTCTAATATTAAATGTTAAAAACAATAACAATAAATGTTAAAAACACAGACTTTCATTAGTCAAAAAATGCTTTTCATTCCTTTACTTTGAAAAAAAAGCGTATAAAAAATTATGTGTAGTAACACACAGACATTATAAAAAGAAAAGTTGTGCTGACGGAGTTTTGAACAAAAACTTGACAGCGCAAGAAAATTTTGTTTACTTACTTAAATTAATTTTGTATCTTCATTTATTTAAAATTTTGTTTATAGTTGGTATTGCTTAATAAAAGTTGAAACAAGGTCAACTTTATTTTCGCCTTAAGGTCGATGTGAGATGGCCATCTTGCACAGTAAAAGAAAAGTGAAGCTAAAATATTACATTTCATGCAGTTGACCATGAAAAAAGCTGTAAGGAATGAATTTTACTTCGGAAAAAGAGTAAAAAGAATATAATAAAAGAATAAAGAATATCTTATGTACAGATTTAATTAAACCATTCCAAGAACCTTTACTACGCTTTTTGAGAAAAGTTTTCATTGTTTGTGCATATTTCATGGAGCCATTGCATGTACCTTGCAGATTTCATGGAACCATATTTTTTAGTTGTGGTATTGTATTCTTCACCACAAATGACACACTTATAATTATCAAATTTTGAGTGTGTAGAATCTCGTAATTCACTGATGTGCAAAAATAAGGATGAAATGGTAAAACTAGCATAACAACAAAATAGGCTGTTACAACGAAGTGAAAAGGCATTGAGAAGACCAATCACGGCAAGGAAAAGTAGTAAATTTGCCTATATGCACATTGACGTACCGGCGGGCGTGTCGTAAGGAAATAAAACAAATTGGTGGTGGAAGCGCAGTATTTATGCTAATGGTATTGCACGGTATACATCAGTTTAAACGAAGTGGATTTGTTGTTACGGTGCGATATGGCCAACAGATAACACAGAAGACGACATCTGGATGAGTTTACTCGAGGTCGAATCATTGGACAGTTAGAAGAAGATCAAAATGTGAACAGTGTGGCTGCGTTGTGCGGGATAACCCACATTTCACGAGCTTGGAACACATTTCAGAAAACAGGAATAGCTGTCCGGAGGTTTAGTAGAGGTTTTCCTCGCACAACCACGCAGCGGACGACCAGTATATAATCCTATAGGCTAGAAGGAATAGACGGCTGACAGCAGGAGAAATCGCTAGGGGCACACACAGCAAGGTACTGGACGCCCAATATCATGTTTTACCGTGGCCAGGAGACTGAACAAGGATGGTCTATTTGCACGATGGCCACTACGGTGTGGTCCATTAACACTAGTTCAACGAAGACGCCGTTTAATGTGGTGCCGGTAACACAACTGAACAGATGTGCAATGGTACTCTTTACGGATGAGAGCAGATTTAGTCTTATCAGTGATTCTGGAAGCATACAGCATGGAGAGAGCAAGGAATACGCAATATCCCCTCTAACATCATCGAAAGAGACCTATTTATAAGAGGCAGAGTTCTTGTATGAGGTGGTATCATGCTTGGTACCCGCACTGATCTATACATCATCCAAGGTGGCTCAGTCACTGGTGCCCACTATTGTATCAAGGTTCTCCTTCGTCACGTGCGTCTTTTTGCAGTGCTGGGGGTTCTGAGTTCTTTTTACTGAACGATGATGCTGCACCTCAGCGTACAGTAACTGTCACAGAACTGTTTGAGAGTGAATATATTGCATGCATGGAATGGCCGACTATGTCCCCAGATTTTAATCTGATTGAACACACGCTGGACACTCTAGGGGGCTCATGGCAGTACGTGCCCAACAGCCAGTAACAATTCCGCAGCTGCGATTAGAATTACAACAGGAATGTGCAGCAATTCCTGAAGAGCTTGTTAACAACCTGGTCCTCAGCATGGGCAGATGATGGCAATCCTGCATAGCAGTCAGAGGTGACCATATCCCATTTTAAAGGCTACAATATCCTTGCCAATCCCGTGTAGCATTGACGTTTTGATCCTTTATACAATTGTGTTTTAAGCCTATATTTCAATAAAGTTCCTTATTATTCCTGTGGATTAAATTCTTTTTTGCAAGTTGTTTACTTTTCCATATTCTTACATTTTGAGGATCCTGTGGTATAATTTTTTATCGATTTTCAATACTGCAGCTCAAGCGTTCAGTCGAAAAACAACTTCGTCCTCAATTTTTGCACACCAGTGTATGTAGGGTTCCATCTAGTACGTTATAGTGTTGCATCGGATAATGCACTGCTGGACAATTGCTAAGGATAAACCACAAATGGCTGCATAGCGCATAAAAAAAATTAAGGGTGGTAAAATGCCAAGTGAAATAAAAAAAATGACAGAATGTTGACACGTTAAAAAAATGGTAATTTACTGTGCTCTGAAACCAGAAGGTTCGAAATCTGTTCAAGGAATAAAACAGCGATTTTGTATTGAAAACGCGAAAATAAAAAAAATGCAAATACCATTTGTAGGCATCATAGAGTAAGATGTCAATAGGGAGTCATAGAGGGCGATAAAACGTCGTGGCATGCTTTACACGACAGTATTCAGCATCTGTTGGGGCAATTTGTCCCATTTATTTGGCGGTGCACGGATGAGGTGCTCTCGTTTATTGCAGGACATTCTCGATCAGCAACACTCCTACCCAAAGTGTATCACGCTTTTTCAATGGGATTCAGATTTGAAGAACGTGCTGGCTATACTAGGTGTTGAATATCCTCGCTCTGTGCACACTCCTTGACTGTTCGATGAGATGCCTATAAAAACAAATTTATCAGTAACAGATCCATGGAACAAGTGAGGAATCAGAAAATGATTAATGTAACGGTGACCAGTCCCCAGTTGGAAGAATATAGAGGGTGGCGTACGGTCATTAATTATAATGACAACCCATACCATGTCACTACATGTAGGATATCCTTTCTTGTATGTCTACTCAACTAAACGCAGTATCACGCCAGATCATTTGGCCTCGACAATCAAACGAGAGACTTATTCTATTCTCATCAGATAAAAGTGTGGTAGAAGAATGCTGATCAAAATATTGGTAGAAGAATATAAAAAAAACTATGAAAATGCAATCTTTTTTCGGTTATAAAATTCGTTTTCAAAGGAACTGCATAGCTAACAACTTCAGAAGTTTTTATATTAAAAATGGTAATAACAATGTTCTTATACATTCTGGAATTAATAAACGTAGTTTTAAATGATTTTTAACAACTTGAACATGCAAATAGTTTTCAAGAAAGGTCTATTATTTCAAGTAGCTTTTAAGGTGCTTACGATAAGAAAATATTTGTTTTCCTTTATCAATGCAATTATGAGATTGTTGTTTCACTACCATTGAGTTTCTCGCTAAGTGCAAATGTTGGCTGCTATATAAATGAAAATAAAATTAAAGCAGCTTCAATCCCGCCAAACTATCTGGCAAATATCTTTCAAAAAAAAAGAGAAAGAAATCTTCCTGATAATAAAATTTGCGCGTGCTGTTATCCGTATAAGTGAAACCAGTACCAACAGCATCATTAAGCAAGAGAACTTCAGTACTTGAGTGCAAGATCGTGATCCAATATGCTTTTCCAAACCTTCCATAATGATTGACGTACACTGAAGGGCCTTTTATTTGAAGACGACGAACATCAACACTATATAAAATGTATGAGAGGGGAGACGCGTAATCTCAAAGCAGCATTCTTAAACAAGTGGGATCAGTTGAAACAGAAATAGCCTTATTTTCAAAATACGCAAAGGAAAAAATTGACTGAATCTTCATGTACTCACTCTTAATTGTTTAAAGGGGTGATCGCTAATTAATTTGTTCAAACAATGTTTTAAGTTACGAAACACAAAAACGTACTTTTTTAAAACTTTTTTCTGACCCTCAAAATATAGGGATACA